AAGATTGCAGTGGGAACAATACTCTAACTGTTGTATGCTTAGCCTGCAAAAGGAGTCTGTGGAAAGAGCGCCATTGTTACTGCGGACAGTAATCCCTGCCCTACATAACAAAAGTAATGCTGAATAGCAAACTGAGTTGAGCTACCCATGCGTGGCAAGGGAAAAATCTCAAACCACACAAAGAAGTTGTGATCATTGCGAATGTTCAGTCTGGGACACTACTGCAGCTCAGGGTACTGGCAGAGTCAACTTACTTTGTCTGTTGTTTCACAATAGTTAGCAGTGAATAAAAATTAAAGCAATTGGTTTAACACTGCCTGGAGAGGTTTTTTAGAATTACTGGTAGAGAAGGAAAAAATAACTAAAAATTAAAAGCATTACTTGGTTTTACTCGGTGCTTTGGAGTGTGGGAGGAAGGAATTGCGTAAAAAAAAATTAATCCTTTTTCTCTCTCTATCCATGTAGTATGAAATGGGTTTGGTTTATTTCTTATTTTTTATAAATGTGACATAAGCGTAATTGAGAACGAGGTTTGGTTTTTGCCTTTCCTCCAATAACAACAGTTTTGTCTTTATGATGTTGCTTCTGTCCTTACCTAGTAGCAGGATGAAGAGGGTAGTACTTCTGCAGGAAATGATCTGGGGTTATGCTGGACAAAAGATAAATCAATAACGTACTGTTGCAAAAAAACTAAGTCATCACTGCAGGATGCATAAGGATGAGTATAGCTTGTAAAGCACAAGAAATAATCCTTACACTATAGTCAGCATTTGCAAGGCCTCGAGGGGTTGTGCCCAGTTTAGGATTCTGCATTTGAGGAATAATGCGGACCAGCTTGAGAGGAACCAAATTAAATTACTGGAAATGGTTAGCGGCCTAGGAAATTGTTCTTAGTCGAGGATCTTGAAGACACTTTGGATCCTAAGTTGTGGAAGACAACTTCCTGACACAGCTGGTAAGTGAGCCTACCAGGGGAGGTGCCTCGCTCGACCTGCTGTTCACAAACAGAGAAGGACTGGTGGGAGATGTGGTGGTCGGAGGCCGTCTTGGGCTTAGCGACCATGAAATGGTAGAATTCTCAATTCTTGGTGAAGTAAGGAGGGGGGGCAGCAAAACCGCAACCATGGTCCATGATCTTCCCAGGCACAGAGGTGAGACTGACTGGTGTGTAGTTCCCCGGCTCTTCCTTTTTACCCTTTTTAAAAATGGGGGTTATGTTCCCCCTTTTCCAATCAGCGGGAACTTCACTGGACTGCCACGACTTCTCAAATACGATGGATAGTGGCTTAGCAACTTCATCCGCCAGTTCCATCAGGACCCACGGATGGATTTTACCACTTGTGGAAGAAGGGGCAGGCGACTCAAGAAGAGTACAGGGATCTCGTTAGGTCGTGCAGAGAGGAAATGAGAAAGGCAAAAGCCCAGCTAGAACGCAACCTGGCCGCTGTCGTTAGAGACAACAAAAAAAGTTTTTACAAATATATTAATGACAAGAAGAGAGCCAAGGAGAATCTCCATCCTTTATTGGATGCGGGGGGGAACATTGTCACCGAGGATGAGGAAAAGGCTGAGGTACTTAATGCCTTCTTTGCCTCAGTCTTTAACAGGCAGACCAGTTATCCTCAGGGTACTCGGC